TAGCTGTCTCCTTAGAGGCCTCCCAGAGCCTGAAATATACGGAAGTGGATGCTCCCAGCTAACCATTGAACTGATCATGGGTTCCCAATGGAGGAGTTAGAGAGAAGACTGTAGGAGCTGAAAGGGTTTGCGGCCCCATGGGGAGAGCAATAATACCAACAAACCAGAGCTCCCAGGGTCTAAACCACCAGCCTGGGAGCACATAGGGAGGGCCCCATGGCTCCAGCTGTATATGTAGGGGAGGATGACAGTGTCAGGCAAAGGTGGGTGAGGAAGTCCATGGTCCAGTGAAGGCTGGATGCTGGGGGGTGGGAATTCATGGGTGGGGAGGTGGGGAGGGGCATATCCTCAGAAGCAAGAGGAGGGGGATGGGATGGGGGTTCCTGGGGGGTAGGGCGGGGAAGGAGATTATATCTGAAATGTAAATAAAATATCCAATAAAAATTAAAAAAAAAATAGCTTGCTTTGATTTGGCCATTATTTGTGGTGAGTGGTCTCTCTCTTCGTATCTGTGGGATTAATACAACCTCCTATTAGCAATACACACGAATTTATTCATTTTTTCATTTAATAAAAGACAGAACGAATCAAACACAAAATCCAACAGTGTAAATGGTTTGTTGCCCAATATTTGGGATTCATTCATAATCTTCTGAAATCTAAAGGGTAGCTGAAAATTTTTCAGGTCTCAGCTTAAACTTAAAATTGAAGAAATCTCAGGTTTCAATTTAAACTTAAAAATTAACTGCCCCAGGGACACATCCCAGGAGGAGCACATTCCAAAGACTTACACACATTCCAGGGGAAGGGCTCAAGATAAGAGGTAATCAGGAAGCTGGGCCCTTAACGTAATAAACCTGGACAAACAAAAGCCACTTAGCTAACACTCATTGTTATAAAGATAATGTGCAAATCTGAGTTACCTAGAAACCAGGCCTGGGAATGGCTGCTTGAGATCGGCCTTTGTGGTTATTAAGAGGTGATTGTATAACTGCCCTCATGAACTCTGTAGAAATGTATAAAAACTGCTCTTAGATTTGGCTTGGGGTTCCTCTTGCCTGCGTGCAGGGGAACCCCAGTACACTGGTTATAAATAAACCTCATGTTTTTACATCAAATCCCCTGTCTATGAGTGTCTCTGCGGGACCGTGCCCCGCAGTTTGGATCTTAGAGTTCAACATAGCTCAACTTCTCCGACTCTGCTATCCCCTACATATATACCTTGTCTGATAGGCTCAGGCTATCTCCAGGCCTCACCTACCACTGTCCTTGGCTGAAGTCCCATGATTCTAGCATCTCTAATATCCTACAGTCTTCAGTGTAGTAAAGTAGTACTTCACTCATTGTCCTAATTTGGGTTTTATTGGTATAAAGAGGCACCATGACCACAGCAACTCTCAATAAGGAAAATATTTAATTGGATCTGGCTTACAGAGTCATTTCCTTAATAAGGAAAACATTTAATTAGGTCTGGCTTACATGATTAGTTCATTATCATTATGGCAGGAAGCATGGCAGTGTGCAGACAGGCACGGTGCTGGAGGAGCCTAAAGTTCTACTTCTTGATCTGCAGGCAGCAGAAAAGAACAGTGTGTCACTGGCCAGACTTGAACATTACGTAAAACTTCAAAGTCTACCTCCATAGTGATACACTTCCTCCAACAAGTCCACACCTACTCCAACAAGGCAACACCTCCTAATAGTCCCACTCTCTGAGACAAGCATTTAAAAGATGAGTGTACAAAGGACATTCCCACTCAAGTCACCACAAATCGGGAAGTCTGAGTTAGCCACAGCCAGACTGACTCCTTGACAGGCTGCAAACTGACAGTTTGGGAGACTAGGCCTAAGTTTCTGTTTCCCAGAAGTAAAAAAGTCCAAAACAAGTCAATTCCAGGAAAAACCACCTCTCATGGGCAGCCAATCAGGAAGCTTCCTGACCACATGGCCTGAGACAACCTCATGAGCAGCCAATCAGGAGCTGTAGAAGCTGCCCCACATCTAGCTTGAGCCAAGTTTAGTTAATAGCAAAAGTCTCCCTAAATTCCCCAGAACCTTAACTAATCATGAAGGTATCTATACCCCTGGAGATAGAGCCAACTGATCAAGGGAAATGTAAAAGTCCCCCATTAATACCCTAACAGGCTTTAAATTCACACTGCAAAGTCCATATCTCTGCCTTCCATCTTGATGTATGGTTGGACCCATCATGCAAAATCTCTACAGAATAAACACTCTTTGCTGTTGCCTACTTTTGACTCTGTGGAATCATTCTTAATGGATCATGGTCTCACACAATGGTCTCTGTTTGAGGACTCCAGTCCTGTCACAATGTCAAAGTTCAGCTTCTATCCATAGTCCTTTGAATCCTGGGGTCTCCGTGGAATTTGAAGATGTACTCATACCAATGGCCTTTTAGGAACTCCAGGCCCACTACAGGGTGCCAGGTATCAACTGTTCTCCATGACCACTATGAAAGCATGAGCCTTCAAATCCACCACTGTGTGAAAGACTATTATCTATAATTTGCCAACTTCTACAGCTAACATGGTATGCAGCCTTGGCCCTCCTGACCACAGCTTCTGTGTTCTGAGCTGGAGGAAATGCCTTTAACATTTTTACACCAATGATGTTGATTTCTGACCAATAATAACTGATACTTTCTCAGCCACCACTGACCAGCACTGACCCAGTAAAGCATAGACGGTTTCATTTCAGTGGTGCTGGCTGTTTGTCAATCACAATGGACCAGAAAACACAGACTCTTTTTTTTTTTATTGGATCTTTTATTTACATTTCGTATGTTGTCCCCTTACCCCATCCCCCACCCACCCAGGAACCCCCATCCCCTCACCCCTCCTTCTTCTCTGCGGATGTAACCCCTACCTACACCCAACTCCCACCTCCCCACCCTCAAATTCCCACCCACTGGGGCGTCCAGCCTTCATGAGGTCAAGGATCTCTTCTTCCACCTATGCCCAGGAGGGCCCTCTGCTCTTACATATACAGCTGAAGCCATGGATCCCTCCCTAAGTGCTTCCAGGCTGGTGGTTTAGACCCTGGGAGCTGTGGTTGGTTGGTATTGTTGCTCTCCTCATGGGGCCACAAACCCTTTCAGTTCCAATGGTCTTCACTCTAACTCCTCCATTGGGAACCCCACTATCAGTTCAATGGCTAGTTGTGAGCATCTGCCTCTGAATATGTCAGACTCTTGAAGACCTCTGAGAAGACATCCATATCAGGCTCTTATCAGCATGCACTTCCTGACTTCCACATCAGCATCTACCTTTGGTGACTGCACATGGGATGGATACTCAGGTGGAATGGTCTTCAGACGGCCCCTCCTTGAGTTTCTGTCCCTCACCTTGTCTCCATATTTGCTCCCTTGAGTATTTTGTTGCTCCTTCTAAGAAGGACCGAATCACCCCCACTTGGTCTTCCTTCTTCATGAGCTTCATGTGGCCTGTGAGTTGAATCTTGGGCATTTCAAGGTTCTGGGCTAATATCCAATAATCAGTGAGTGAATACCATGTGTGTTCTTTTGTGATGGGCTTACTTCACTCAGGATGAGAATTTCTAGTTCCATCCATTTACCTAGGAACCTCTCGAATTCATTGTTTTTAATAGCTGAGTAATACTCCATTGTGTAAATATACCACATTTTTTTAATCCATTCCTCAGTTGAAGGACATCTAGGTTCTTTCCAGCTCCTGGCTATTATAAATAAGGCTGCTATGAACATAGTTGAGCATATGTCCTTGTTATATGTTCGAGCATCTTCTGGGTATATGCCTAGGAGTAGTATAGCTGGATCCTCAAGTAATGCTATGTCCAATTTTCTGAGGAACCACCAGACTGATTTCCAAAGTGGTTGCACCATCTTGCAGTCCTACCAACAATGGAGGAGTGAAAACACCGACTCTTAATTCAACGCATCCCATGAAGGTCCTGATAAAGTGCAGGTCCCTATCCACTCCCCTGCTGGGCATGGCCTCTTGGGAAGGCAGAACACAGGGAGTTTGACTGCACTTCTCCCAGGCCACCTCCGGGACAGGTACCAGGCTATAGGAAAGCACCATGACACTCACTGTTCCAGGAATAGGAAAGCACAGTCTGACATGGAAGAACACGGGAGCTGGTGACAATGCCGGGTTGTGGGGTTATCAGACTCTTGGACATTAAGGTGCTACCAGGAGTCTTGGAAGAGCTGAGAAAAGAGTCGGGGACTTACAAGCTGGTGACAGAATCTAGCCCAGACCATGGTGGGGGAAGGGAGCTCTGGCTTGTCCAAGCAGTGATTGTCTTTAGCTTGGTGGTGACAGGCCGGAAGCTCAGAGAGGCCTTCTATGAAAGAACTAAGCTGCAGCTCTATAGTCAAATGCCTTCTCCATGGCTCCCCATGATGGATCTTGATGAAGATATAGTCCATGGTTCTAAAATGTTCGTTGACTGTTCATGGTGGAAAATGGATGCATACCCTATCATAATCTCTTCTCAGGTTGGACCTGAGATTAAATTCCTTTGGCAGAGAGGAATGTCTGGGGAATGAAGCTTATTGGCTAGGCCCTCCAGGCCTCCAGGTACCTCATTAACATGGAGAACTCTATTTTGGGCCTATGTTATCATAGGACAGGAAGGGCACATGTTCCAGACCAGGAGTCTGGCATGGAGTGGGGAGTCGCCTAGATCTGATGTGTGCTCATCGAGTCTCCAGGTCTCAACTTGCTCTACCTTACCAAATTTCCTCACATGGTTTTACCAAACAACAACATAGTCTTCACTTCCCTTTGAAACTTCACAACTCACGACATATTGTCTGTACTTCTCCCAACTCCCTTATTTAACAAGTTCAGAACAACAGCTCACTAAGCTCTGAACACTTAGTGGCTGCTCTGACTCAAGGCTCCCAAATCCTCCACAATCCTCCAATAGCATAGTCAAAAGTTGAAAAACACCACATGGTCAGGTCCATCATAGCAAGCAAGACATCACTCCAAGGACCAATTTTTGTTCTAATTTACTTTCTTGTTGTCATGATAAACACCATAATCAAAAGAAACTTAGGGAAGTAAAGCTTAAGCTTCCATAGTCCATAACTGAGGGAAGGAACTCAAAAGGAATCTAGAAGCAAGAACTTGAAGCACAGACCATGGAGAAATGCTACTTATTGGCTTGCCCCCCTTCTGGTACATGCTGACACGGCTTTCTTATGAAGCATAGGCTCACCTATGTAAAGGAGCTGCCACCAACTATAGGATAGGAGGTCACATACCAATTACCAATCAAGATGATTCCTCACAGACATGGAAACAGGCCAATTCCTTAATTGAGACTCTATTAGATAACCCCAGGTTATGTCAAGCTGACAGATGAAAACATTGAAGACACTTGATGAGCTATAAAGAAAATGGGTTGTGAGGAAGTTCTAAGAAGACGACACAGTGGGGAAATTTGTGTGGCACAAGCATGAGGACCATGAGCCCAGAGACCCAGCACTCACCCAGGAACAATTGTTTATTAAATCTTATCAGAAAGCTGAGGCCAAAATTGGGTACAAGGAATTAATTATCACCTGGATCATCAGCCCAGCTTCAGCAACAGAGTCATACCAACCATTGCTAGGCGACCTGCCACTGTTCTTGTTTCCTGACCTTGAACACATCCCTTGATCAATATTCAAAAGTGTGCTTTTCTGAACTTCAATTTGCTTTCTAAGATTTTCAACATCACAGCCATTTACAAAATCATTTTAACTAACTTTACAAGCAATCTACTTCTCCAAGTTCTTCCTAAGACTGATGGTCATTTCTAACAATCTACATTGCTAAGTTCTTTCCAACAGTGATGCCCCCTTAGATTTTTCTTACAACTCATAGATTATGAGGGATGCAGTGTGAGGGCAGCAAACAGAGCAAAACTCTATGACAGCATAAAGTCCTCAGGACCCGTAGTCCTCTCTGAGGCACACCCATGTGATTGTGCTAACTGAGGGACTGAGTTCAATGAATTCTAAAGCTGTTTGGCTGATCCTCTTGCACTACCCCAGCATCTATCAAACACTGCTTCCCTGTTGTGGCTTCTATATAGATCAATCTTCTTTTCCCAGACCCTTCCTGTTGACCTTGACAATGAATGGTTGTCTATATGAACTTGACTGAAGCTCTAGTCTTTAGACAGGAGGACCATATAAGGACTGCCAAGGTACTATTCAATATACCTCCTAAATTCAATGGTGGGCATGCAGGCTTTTTAAATATTAGCAGTCTGCACAGTTAATAAATATTCTTCAATAGGATGGTTAATTATTTCTTTAGCTGTGAGACAGGATCTGGTCTGAACTTCTTGATTCTTGTACCTCAGTAATCTAAATGCCTAAACTACAGGTGTATACCACCATGCCCAGCTAAACTAAGGTGTTTTAGGAAATCAGGTATTCAGAACTGTCAGTAGCCTTCAGCTGCATCCTTTACTCCAGGACAACAGGAGAGAACGGGACTATCCATTTCCAGAAGATAAGCAGGCGTTTGGACTGAGGGTGTCTTTCCTTCACATCATTAATCACTTTCATGTCCTCTTCATCCAGGAGCCAACTGAGCATATGCAGCCTGGTGAGGTTGGGCAGTCGGGACACACACTGACCCAGAGCCTTGACAGTGGTGGCCTGAACTTGAATGCATTCTGGGATATGCCTGCAGATGTTCATCTCTTTCAAGTTTGGCAGGTTGTTCAGGGTTAGAAAGAAATTTCTGTATCCTTCCTCGGTAATCTTGTGATTCATGGAAAGGTCTAAGTTCTCGAGTTTCTGGAAACCTCCTCTGGCTGCCACCCTGGCTAGAAAACAAAACACTTATGAAAACAGAATCTTGAGGACAACAATAATGCTCACAAGTTATTGGAACTACTCCCAAACCCCAACAATGAAAGTGGGACGTGCACTACACGATGTTTTAGAGATCAAACTTTGAAAGCACCAAAGAGCTGCCTGGTTGCTAGGAAACCACCCAGCCAAACAGAAAAGGGGAAGCAGACACCAAGAAGTCAAACACAGAGAACTTCAGCTGTCTGGGCAATGTGGACTTCTCTTCTGTCTCACAGGAGGACAAAGGTCAAGGCAGAGCCCAGAAATGAACCAGGGTACAGTACAGGAGACTGAGAAATTGTGTCAACAGTGTCTCCCTTTATGCAGAGAAGGGAAGGTGACAGTCCTAAAAGCTTGTCCTCTCACTGGCTACTACAGAGGGAATCCTAGGTTACTGAGAGCAGGGCTCTGAAGGAAATGGAGCCAGACTCATAGTGACTTTGGAGGTGAAGTTCTAGTACAGCTTTTGTTTCATTTTTCACAGTCTAACCACTTTTCCCTACTATGGGGAAGGTTAGGGTAGATCTCACCCAGAATCATGATGTAGCTTGAGTGTAGAGACAGAGGCCCTGAGAAAGTGTTTCTCTTGTGTCCTAAATTGGGATCTTCTGTGATAGGGGGTATTTCTCACTTGTTGAATGAATATTCTTCTGGAAGGACCAGAGTACAGCTCAGCCCTCCCCACCCATGGCCTGCAGTCCCCTGGTTCTCTTGATTCTCCACATCACATTACATCGTTACCTGATGCTATGGTGTGTGTAAGTGTAGTTACCTGAAAAATTGAAACATTGGCCAAGAGCAAGCTGTCAGCTGTCCATAGAAAGATGGACAGTTACCACTGCAGGGACACAGCAGGTGAGGGCACCGACTGTACAAGCCTGAGAACCTGAGTTTGATCCACAGAAAATCTACTTGTAGAAGAGAACTAACAGCACTGTACTCTGACAGCTGTATTCTTGCCACATCATTCTCTCTCTCTCTCTCTCTCTCTCTCTCTCTCTCTCTCTCTTTCTCTCTCTCTTTCTCTCTCTCTCTTTGTCTCTCTCTGTGTCTCTGTCTCTCTCTCTGCATCTCTGTCTCTCTGTCTCTCTCTGTCTCTCTCTGTCTCTCTCTGTCTCAGTCTCTGTCTCTGTCTTTGTGTCTCTTTCCCTCTGTCTCTCTCTTATTGTTAGTTTGGACAGTGGTCTCATGCAGCCCAGGCTGACCTTGACCTTGATTTGAAGCTGAGGATCACCTTGAACCGTGGATCTTTTTGCTCAGCCTCCTCAGTGCTTGGAATCCAGATATAATCACCTCGACACCAGCTAACTTCTTTTGTCTTGCTTTGAGAGAGGGTCTCACTGTGCTGCCCTGGACAGCCTGGAACTGGCTGTATAGATCAGGCTGCTCTGGAACTCACAGAGATCTGCCTTCCTCTGTTTCTCCAGCACTGAGAGTGAACTTATTCACTATCATTTCCAGCCTAGGTTGGATTTTTAAAACCTAACAATCTAAGTGCACAGGAGACAGACCTTAAATGGTGGGTATAGGAAGACTAAAAGTAAAACACAGAAAAAGGACATGAAAGAGATACTGGGCACCTATATTAATACACAAGAAGTGAACATAGGCAGGAAGTGCCACCACAGGTAAAGAACACTCATCTACCAGAAATGAGTACTGCTGAGTACACCTCCAATCCCACAGCTGGAAATGTAAACATCCCGTCTGGGGTTGATTATAGTGTAAAGAATGGAGTCTATCTCAGGTGGAGACATGCCCTGAGCTCCTCCTTTGAGGGTTAACCATGTGGGGCAGGTCAGAGACCTGGCCAAAAGACCGTCCTTAGGAAGATGAGTTAAGCCAAAGATAATGTGGTTTTCTTCTCAGAATTCCTGACTTCTAGTGTGGTGTCCATGAGCCAAGCCTCCATGAGGTTAGATGGCCCTGTGTGGCTTTCTGAGGCCCATCTCAGAAAGGTGTGAGCACTTCCTTTTCCCCTCTTCTGTCTTTGTATTTGAGATGCTGGTCAATCTGGAAGATATTCCTCAACTTCTCACTAAAGCTTCAGGTTGTCTTACCCATGAGACTCACCAGAGTGTCTCAACTATAAGGGATTGACAATATCTCCTAGAGAAAATATGGGAAGCAACCCCTGATGAGGCTGAAAGCTGGCACCACAACATGGAGAGGTTTGTTCTTCTGTCTCATGGTTTGTGCTCCAAGTCTCCTGTAACCCAGTCTGGCCTTGAACTTGCTATCTAGCCAAGGAATTTTGGAACCTCCCAAGTGTTGAATTATAGGCACGAGCCACGTCTAAACAAAAATAGGGGTTTTAATCAATCTGTGTGAGGTTACTCAAAATTCCACCCCTAGAGATACCTAGACAAATGCATTCTATGAGAATGCTCTCAGAAGCTTGTCATAGTGACCGACTACTAGAGACAGCTCAAGTGCCCATGTAGATTAATCCTGGTCTTACTGGGAAGGCCAACAGTGTCTTTTTTAAAAAAAAATCAGATTGTGTGTGTGTGTGTGTGTGTGTGTGTGTGTGTGTGTGTGAAAGAGAGAGACACACACAGAGAGAGACACAGACAGAGATAGACAGAGATAGAGAGAGATAGAAGGAGAAAGAGAGAGAGAGAGAAGTATCCAATCTTTGGTTTTGTTTTCCCAGGGCTGAGATTGAATTCAGGGCCTCACACATACAGTAGAGCAGTGTTCTACCCCTGCACCACAGCCCAGTAACTTCTTCGGGGGGAATGGACCCCGAGAGCAGAAAAGATCAATAAAAGAATGATGCCCAGCAGTAAGGCCAGTGCTCTATGGTCATATGTACTCTCTGCACAGAAGACACAATCACAACGCTCTATGGTCACGTGTTATTCTGCACATGAGGCACAAACACAATGTTCTATGATCATATGTATCACTGTGCACATAAAGCACAAACACAGTGCTCTGTGGTCACATGTTCTACTCAGCGTGTAAGGCACAAACACAATCTTGGGTGAAAAGAGACAAATCAGGCCTATCATATAAGATTCCCTCACATGAAATGTCTAGTGGCAAAGGCAGCTCTGGTGAGAGAGAGCAGTGCTGTGGTCGTCTGTGAGGGTGTTCAGGGCACTGCTGGAGAATGGACAAAACTCGGGATTGGGGCACTGGGGAAGCTCTGTGCCCTAACCTGGTTGACTGCTACACTGACTTGGATAACAGAGGTTGCAGGAACATGAGCAGAAGTGGATGCAGCGCTACATTTCACCACAGTACACCTCCCTTGTCAGTATTCAGTTGAGTAAGAGTGTATCTGGACAGGGTTCTGAAACATCAAGTGTGAAGACACAGAAGTTACTGGGCTATTCAGTACTGGGTTCAGGGGTAGAACACTGCTCTACTGTATGTGTGAGGCCATGAATTCAATCTCAGCCCTGGGAAAACAAAACCAAAGATTGGATACTTCTACATATCTTTCTCTATCTCTCTCTGTCTGTCTCTGTCTATCTCTCTGTGTGTCTCTCTCTCTTTCACACACACACACACAACCTGATTTTTTTTTTTAAAAAGACACTGTTGTCCTTCCCAGTGAGACCAGGATTAATCTACATCTGCAGAAGAACAGGAGAGGAAGCAGGTGATGATGAAATTGAGGAAGCCTTTGGAAGCCTTTCCAGGCTCTAGAAGCTTGCAGCAGGCAGCTCCAATGACGCCACTGCTTCCACACAAGGGAGCCCTATTCTCTGAGGGAAACTCACCAATTTCAATCACACTGTCATCATCCAAGACGTAGTGAAAGGCGAGAACTCGGAGACCTGGAAGCTGCAGGCACTGCTGGACAATAAGTTTGGCCACTTGGTGAATCCCGTCCCCAGTGGGAAGGAGCAGTTCCTCCAGGTTCCTGAGAGAACCTAGAGCCTGGGCTGTGAGAGACACAAGAGAACCATCCTCGGGAGATGTTCCATCACAAAAGCCAATGACTTACACAGTCTGTATTCCCCACCTAGCACAGACCCTCCTCATCACTGTCCTCTCCAAGGGCAGGAGAAGGAGTCAGCACACAGCTGTTCCCTGCAGCTTTCTGCTGCTGCTTCCTCCATCCTCCCTCAACCTGTCTCTTCACTCCAAGCCACCTCTCCATCTCCATTTTGCCTTGTACACTGAGGCCTCCATGACAGTTCATTCTCCTAACTGCCCAATGCTTTCAGCCCTATCCCTTGCCATCCCATCCTCAACTACCACCCCAATGATCCAATCTGAGGAGAGCCACCCTCCTTGTAACGCATGGTCCACTACTCTGACAGCTTTCCACCATCTATCCTTAGCGTGACACTTTTTAGATCATGTGATCACAGTCTCTAGTTTGGTGGCTTTGCAGAAAGTGTCTTCAAGACTTTGTAAAATTAAAACAATGTTCTAGACTTATCTTTGACTTCCCCATTTCCAGAAAAGATAGTATTTAGAACTAAAATTCTGGGATTTGTGAGTTGTCTCAGTGATACAATGCTTGCATAACATTCTGGACACCATCACACCACAGAGAGAGAGAGAGAGAAAGAGAGAGAGAGACAGAGAGACAGAGAGACAGAGACAGAGAGAGAGAAAGACAGAGAGAGACAGAGACAGAAACAGAGACAGAATCTTGTTTTTTGCCTTCTCACTCATCTGAAAGGAAAGAAAACCCGGTGCTGACAGCTCTACTGTGTCAATCATGAGCACTCAGCTCTGGATCTTGTTCTTGCCACATTGGTTCAAACCAGCAAATCAGATATAAAATCAACCTCAGTATGAACAGTCGACAGTGGTTATATTAGTATGCACAAGGGGGTCATTAAATTGAGTTAACTGGTTGGCCTGTTTGTCTTGGCAGTTTTGAGATAGTCTCAGCCCATAGTCAGAATGACTAGGAGTCCATCCTCCAGCCTCATCCTCCCACGATCATAGGCATGTGTTGTCAATCTCAGCCTTTAGGTCATCTTTCATGAAAAAGCTACTTCTCACTCAAAGAAATCACACCAGTTGTACGTATAGAAAACTGTTTCCAAACTTAATAAGCATGAACATCTGAGCAGTTGTGTTCATTATTACAAGCATGCTTTCCAGATGCTCAGGTGACTGCGCTAGGGAATGTGTGTCTGTGTGGCTAGAGATTTGCAGGACTATAAACATATTCAGAACTCTCTGTGTTTATGGGTCAGAGCAGGTGAGACAGCTCAGGGGTAAAGGCATCTGCAGCCATGCCTGAGGACCTGAGTTAGATTCCAGAAGTCCAAATAGAAAAAAGAGATCTGATTCCCACCTGTTGTCCTCTGACTGCCACACACATGCCACAGCACCACTACACACAAAGACACACAATAGATGCAAAAATAAACACTATGAGGCCACATCAATAAGGTCCTGCTGCTTGAGCACACTGACTTATCTATCCACTTTCCCCACAAACAAAACAAAACACACACACACACACACACACACACACACACACACACACACACACACATACAAGTCGTAGTATAAAGACAAGAGAAAGAAACAAGGAGAAAGTCCAGATCTCCTTATGCACCGTGCACTCTGAGAAGAACTGTGGAGATGCCACTCTGCACCCTATACCGCTGTTGTCTCCTCACTGTTTTTAACTTGATAGTGCTTCCCAGGAAACTCATTATTTTTCCAATCGTTTCTTCCCTTCTTTCTTTTCTTCTTTCTTTCTCTCCTTTTTATTTCCATGTGATTAGGTCTTTGGAGACAGGGTTTCCTAGTTAACCCAAGGTTTCCTGGAACTTAATCTGTACACTAGACTGGCCTGAAACTCAGAGATGCTATTACCTCTTCCTACGGAGAGCTGGGATTAAAGGTGTGAAGTATCACAGTGGGCTTCATAATCATTTCTTGAGTCAAAAATATTTAAACATTTTATACTTATTAATTTGATCAACTGAATTATGTTTTTTAACCTTAAATAGAAGTTCTAGCCGGGGAGGTGTGTGTGTGGGGGGGGGCACACACCTTTAATCCCAGCACTTGGGAGGCAGAGGCAGGTGGATTTCTGAGTTTGAGAGTTCGAGGCTAGTCTGGTCTACAGAGTGAGTTCCAGGACAGCCAGGGCTACACAGAGAAACCCTGTCTCGAAAAACCAAAACACACACAAAAATTCATATATATATATATACACAAATATGTATAAGTGTCTATGTACATACATGTATATGTATTCCAGAAGCCTGTGAAACAAAAAGTGTGTATCATTTTGGATTGGATGTGGAACACTAAAGTTACACAGTGTCATCATGACCAAATTCTACTCTAAGAAGTCAGTGAGTCTGAGAATATTGTACTTAGTAAGATTAAACATGAGGATGTGTAGGAACAGCAGTAATGACATTAATTAGGGAGGGAGGTTTCGGGGATGTGAGACTAAGTATCACTATGGTGTCCTCCAAAGGACCAGTATGGCTGGTGCATGACCCTCTGAAGGGCACATTCCATCAACCATGGGCTCCATTTTTAAACATTGTGTCTGTACCAAACATGTCCTGATACTTCCTCCTCTTTGTTATTCTCAGAAAAACATAGTATAGCACCTGTTTACATAGCATTTACATTAAATTAGGCATTATAGGCAATGGGAAGATGGGTTAAAGTGTATGGAGGATGTGTGGAGTCAGGGGCAAACTTTACTGTACCATTTTATATCATAAAAGATCTTCTAGTAGTTACAGCAGCAGCAGGCCCTTGAACCAACTGTGATAGATGTCAAAGGATAACTGTACACAGCCTGCTTTGTTGTAGGTTCACAGGAGGAGGCTGGAGGAGGAGGAGGAAGAAAAAACATTAAATTAAGAAACATTGTTTTATACACTTACCAAACTTTTCTGATGTTTCCTTATCTGGGAATTGTTGGTCTGTAAGATTCAATATCTTCAGAGAAACAAAATTTGTCAAAATGTTGACTAAAAAAGAAATAATAGCATTGAGTTAGTTGAGATACATTCCTATGACACAGTGAATTTCAAAAATGGCAAAATATGATATAATATTCAGACAGAATCACTATGACTAAGTAGAGGATACAACTCTGCAAGTGAAACATTTAAACTGTAATTTATGTGTAAACTGTAGTTTATTAACTGTAGTTCATTCATTCTTTGAGAACCTTGCTAAGTATCAGGTGTCCACACAGTTCCCATAACATCAGTGGCATTTAATTCTCAAGTATTTAATGACTCTATGCATAAGAGCATTTACAGTCAAAGCTGTACAGTTCTTACCAAAGGGCATGGCTTCAAAGCATCGTCCAGAAAACTCAATCTCTCTGAGTTTCTTGCAGAAAACAAGCACAGCCATGAGATACTCACAATTCAAAAGGAAATCACATTTTAGATGGAAAACAAGGAGGTTTGGAGAGTTCTGAATCAATTTAACTGGAAAAGATGAAGGATGTTCAGAAATTAGAGAAGGTCACAAATCCCTGTCAAAGTTGAACCCTCAATCCATCAGCTGCAGCCATACTGATAAAACAGCCAGTGATTTGGTATCTAAATGTCAGACTAAAAAAAAAAAAAAAAAAGTCAGACTACATTGGGCTTGTGCCAGGCTTCTGCAACTGACTGGTGAGCAGACAAGCAGACAACCAGGGACAAATTCCTGCCTCTCTCTAAATCAGATTTCTGTTCCTGTATTTCACCTTCAGTGTCAGCACTGTAATGTCTCTGCACACACTGTGTAAGTGTCCTAAAATCACTGAATGAAAACCCCAGACTCAGATAGTATGCAAAATCAAAGAGCATTTATTCTGCAGAAACAACTAGCATGTTTTAAGAATGTCAATACAGACAAAGGCAAATCAGCCCCTTTAGAACAGAACTGCTTAATTGCTTCTGAGATAACAACAGACTTCTAAAACCTAGAGCATATTACAAGGGGTTATAAAAACCATTAACTGAAGGGCATAGGAAGATATAGAGAAAAAATATTGACTTGGTTTATCTATATCAAACTTCAAGAACAGCTTGGTTATGGGTTTTAGCTTTCCATGAACCTATAAGCTAGTAACAAACGATGAATGTTTAGCCAGATAATTACTCCTAGTGGATACGCATGTAGACATTCTCTGTTATAAAACTCTTATTCAATTTATGGCCTGAATTTATGTGCAAACTCCCAGTGAACTTTTATACCATGTGATCATGCACTCTGGAAGTCTTACTCGTACTGAGAGAAGAAATAGGCCTCCCTCGCCCTTTTCTTTCTGAGTCTTTGAGCTGCTCAATTCCCAGCTGAGATAAAACAAAGGCTGCTTTACCTAGCCTCCTGCTGTTTTACTATGAGATGCTGAACAGGATACTTCAGCTTCTTGTCCCAGAGCAACCCAGACAAGTAGACCAACTGCAGAAGCAAAGTACCTTACTTTTATGGCCTAGTTTCTGAGTGGAGAAAAAATAGAATATAAAGGACTTTTCAACTAGACTGACACATTAAGAATTCTGGGCAGAGTAACATAAAAGGAAGGACAATTCTGAAGCACAACTTAAAAATGTTATTTTGCATATGTGCATGTGGTGGTGGCAGGGGCGTCATCCATGTCCTGCAGCACATATGTGGAAGTCAGGGAAAAATTGGGAGAACTTGCTATTTCCTTCCATCATATGGATCTGTGGCATTGGAACTATCAGGCTTGGCAAGTACCTTTACCTGCTGATCCATCTTACCTATCTATAAAATGTTTTTGTTTGCTTGCCTTTGTTTCTTTTCAGACAGAGTCTCATATTGTATCTCAGACTACCCTGGAAAGAATTATATTTTCAGAGCCAGGCTGGCTTTGATGTTGTGACAGTCCTCCTGCCTAAGCCTCCAAATTTGGGGATTATAGGCATGAGCCACCATGCCCCTCTCTTGTAACTTTTTGGCATGCAAATCTGACATACTGTTCCAGGTTTACATTTCTCCGGTGTTCGGTGTTTTTAAAATTAAGGAACTGATGGTGCTTTAGTCATTTTTCTAAATGACATGTTCTTTGGAGATAGCTGTACAGCTGTCTGTCAACCTGAGGCTGGGATGGAGAAAAAAAGGATAGAAAGGTCTACACTTCTTTCTTGGCTATTCACACCAACTCAAAAGCCATGGCTATTCACACCAACTCAAAAGCCATGGCTATTCACACCAACTCAAAAGCCATGGCTATTCACACCAACTCAAAAGCCATGGCTATTCACACCAACTCAAAAGCCATGGACTAGTTTTGTAAACTTTGTAAACCCTCAAGGCAGAAAAGTGGCCAGGCCACGCCTAAAAGAAAAGAAATGCACCAATACCTGAGCTTGGCCCAGTAGTGATCAGGCCACACAATCCCTCCAATCCCAGGCCTCCTTGAAAAGTTCAGTCTCCCCTACCACCAGAAAATGCTATATTTACTCTGTTCTGCCCAGTTCTCCAATGCTTCTCATCTGAGTAAAGCCAGCCACTCTCATGGGGTTTTCCCTCTCAATTTTTACCCTCTCTTGTGAGAGGTTTGTTGTGCACTGTGACTTTGTGGTATTTCTTGGCTCCAGATTGCCAGGATGCCTTTCAGAGCAGAGCTGTAACACTCTGGCCTGAGCAGCACTTTCTCTGGGGAAACCTCTTCCAAAGGAGCACAGCTGCAACACTTGCATTGGGAAAATTTCCAGGCTGCTGGAGCAGAACTTTTGTAGGGGAAGCTTTTCCCTTCAGAGCTGCCATACTTCCACTGCTCCCAGGCAGATTCCTTCTCCCTGAGCAGGCAGATCTGCACATGGGATTGAAACAGTAGAACAAAAAGAGAAGTCCTCACACTGCTATGAAGAGGAAGGGTTAGGAGTAGACAGCTCAGGCTGTGCAGTCAGATCTTCTGGTTCAACATTTTTGTAGCTGGATAGACCTGAGCAGTCGATGACCTCAGTTCCCCCAGTTGACAATCAGCAATAATCCTTACGCCTTCTCTCAGTGGGTATGAGGAGAGAGCTAGTATCTGTGATGTGCTCAGAACAATTCCTGGCACGTTAAAGACTCAGGTTAGAAATAAATCTCTGCCCTCTTAAAGATGAAGAGCACTGATCCCATCCCTTCCCATGGACACAGCTCATGCTGTCAGGTCCAGGGAAGTTTAACTAATGGTTCTAACAATTACTAACCAACTGTCCAACTAGCTTTTCCAACTAAGACATGAACTGGAGATCCAAGCACCATCCTTACCTAGTTTGGAGAGGTCAGACTCCGTGGAGGTTTGGATGGATAATTTCTCCATGTGATGGAGGTTTGGGAACTCTCCAGGAAGCACTGAGAGCACATCCTGTTTGCCATCTAGTCTCACACACAGTTCTTTCAGGCCCAGGAACTTGTCCAAGTTAGGAAGGAGATGATCTGGAAAGCAGCACACAGTTACCATCACCCAAGAGCCCCCAAGTGCAAGTTCTCAAGGTGCTGTGTTCTTTAGCCATAGTCATACTACCAAGATAAAACATCTCAGATATCCTAACATCTGTTTAGGAAGCACATCCATGAAGATACTGCCAACTGCAGCATCTGCAGATCAGAAGCTGTAGAGGAAGGACTATGCTGGTCTCTAGACTCACAAAAGTAAATAAGACATCTTCACAACCAACAGCATGGCAACAGAAAACAACTGTTTCTGCACATGCAAAAGGTTATATTTCAACTCCTACATTAGACTTATATAAAAATATAACTCAGAACCTCTCTTGCAAACCTGCACATCCCCTTCCAAGGTCTATCCAGATAAGTCTGCCATCCTCCCACCTACTCAACATATCTACAGTCCCCTAGATCTAACCTTGGTCCCATATCCAATTCCTGGGCCTGTCTAGCCTCCTCTGCCTGTGTCACTACCAAACTCTAGGTTTCTGCCATGACCCACAGAGCCTCCAACCTGCCCGTAACTTTCAGGACACTCCCACAGCACATCCAACAGCTGTATCTAGCTAGGTTCTACACATCCTTCTCCAGGGTCTAGCTGGGTGAGTTTGCCTAATGCTTTCCACCTCATACCTACTGAAACAATCTCCATATACCCCCAATTATAAGCTTATACCAGGATGTACACCTTGCACACCAGCACAGCCTCCTGTGTCCATCTGAGCCATAACCAACCTCTAGGCCTAATCCAACCCTCACAAGTGTAAGGCTGATGGACTGAAGAAGAAAATCCAGATTTTGAAAATAAATTCAATAAAAAGATAGAAACACTGAGGAGGACTCAAGTGCAATGTGTATGAGAATGAAAACTCAACAGGTCTACTAGAAAACTCAAAGGAGAGACCTACAAGTAAAACAACTCAAGCATTAGACAGAACACAGCCGGGCAGTGGCGGCACACACCTTTAATCTCAGTACTTGGGAGGCAGAGGCAGGCAGATTTCTGAGTTCAAGGCCAACCTGGTCTACAGAGTGAGTTCCAGGACAGCCAGGGCTACACAGAGAAACCCTGCCTTGAAAAAAAAAACAAAAAGAAAAGAAAAAGAAGAAGGAAGAGGAAGAGAAGAAGGAGCAGGAAGAGGAAGAAGAGGAGAAGGAGGAAGAAGAGGAGGAGCAGAAGGAGGAGGAAAAGGAGGAGGAGGAGGAGGAGACAGAACACAAGGATTTAAAATAAAGTAGAGGATCTAGATGAAAGAGACAAAGAAGTGGGGTTGGGTGGGGGACACAAAGGAAACTAGGAGACACTGATAAACAAAGAAACAGTCCTCCTCAAGGAAGAGTATACCAATTGGTTATCTAATTGTGGGTGAGCCTTGAAATCATACATACAAGTAGCAATATACAGACTGAACAGGCACTTAAGTAGTTAGGAATATATACACATATTTAGCATATATATATATATACACACATATATGTGTATGTATATATGCATGAATATTAGGAATATACATACATATATCAACAATTAATTTTTTAAAGATGCCACGAGTTTGAAAGAGAGCAAGGAGAGGTATGTGGAAAGGCTTGGATGGAAAAAAAGGAAAGGGGGAAATAATATAATTATATTCTTAACACATAAATTATTATTAAAAGGGACAGAATGATACAAACAGAACAAAGCATGATTGAACATATAGCAGGCTGAAATACCAAAGCTCTGCTACTAACAAATACAAAACTTGAAATCAAATATTTGCACTGGTATAAGATTTTAGACATAAACTGAATAAAAGACAGTAAAGTCTGGGAGCCGAAAACACAGCTCCACAACTAAGGGATCCTGGTGTTTGGCAGAGAACCCAATTAGGATCCCAGCACCCACACTAGGTACCTCACAACAACCTATAGGCACAGCTCCAAAACTATGACACTGTTCTCACACCTCTGAGGGCAACTACACACACACACACACACATGCATGCACACGCACACACACACACACATACACACACAGTAAAATAAATACTTTTTAAAACAAATCATTATAAACATGAAGTCTATCCTAGAAACTACCAAAGATAGCTTAGATGACAAAAAAAAACTATTTGCCTATATTAAGTATCTTCTCTGAAGAACTGAAATACACTATTCTTCAGCATCATCATACCCAAAGTACACCATTTACCAATAACAAGCAATTCAAACACCCTTATAAAGACACTGAAAGACGAACTACTGGTGGAAATGTCTTCCTAGTGCTGTCTGAGTTATTAGAAAGCTGATTCTATGATTCAGGGTCTTCTGCTTCCCTAACCACTTTCTAAACAATAAAAGTATTTAGATCCCTCCTATCAGGAAGTTTCATTAATCTAAGCTAAGAATGAGAAAACACAGTGTGAAGCAGAATGGTTATGTGAACACACTTGGAAATACCTGGTAACTGGTTTGTCCCTGAGACCTCAAGAGACTGCAGGGCAGGCAGGCTGAGAAGCAGCTCCTGTTCTGCTCTGCTGAGCTCCATCCTGGACATGGAGCACTTGGCGACAGAGGTCTTATTCAGCTCCAGAGCTGGGCGGATGCTTTCAAGAAAGCCACTGCTGTTGAATAAACGGAGCTCAATACTCTCTGAAGCTGAGAAGACTTCCATTAGGACCTGAAGCAGAGCTTGGTCTGCTGGACCCATGTTGGCCACTCCAACTTCCAGTCTAGGGATCTTGTACGGCTTGGGGGACAGTTTCCAATAGCCAGTACTAATATTTAGTGGGGTCTGGTGTTTCATATCCTTATAGTTCTTTATTATGTCTTCATTTTCAGCTAAATTTTTCCCAGATTCCTTCAATTGTTGAAAGGTAGATGCATAGTCCTGATCTATAGTTGGTGGCTGTAATGTTTCAAAACATTTTTCCATGACTGAGTAATCTAAAACAGTTGGAATTTTATTTCCACTTATGGACACCTTTAAACTTCTCAACAGTAACAGGCATTCTGGGTGGTCTAAAAAGTACTGTAAATTCAGGACTTCCAAAGCCAGTGTTCTCCCTCGAAGGAACTGCAAAATCAATGGAGAGCATGCAGCAACTGTGTTGCTTTTATAACCATAATATAGAGCAATGCTCAATAATTTTTCTGAAACTAATGAAGAGAAAGATTCAGGAGATACCTGCCACAGTTCCTTAATTGCCTGTGTTATCCGGGAAGTTTCTGGAGGGTTATTTACATATTCCTCAATTTCAGACATGGTATCCAGTAAGTCTTTCTTATCCAGCAAATGAAGCAAATGAGATATAACTGGTGGCCCTGCCTTTGATGAAGGATGTCTGGAGATATACTTCAAAAAATTGCTGTAGGTGGTCATAGCCTTCAAGGGTGAGTTAATTTGTCTCAAATGATAAAGTCCCAGGTTTTGGTCTTCCTGCCTATCTGAACCCAGAAGTTCAGTCAGCCTCATGGCAGCAAGAAACTCTTGGAACAGAGGACTTAAAAACCGGTAGACGGGTCTCAGTCTCTGGGCAGTGAATTTGCTCATCAAGCAGGTGGTGAGCTCCTGGTCTTCATCAACTCCTGCCTCTGCCAGGTCATCACTACTGAACTCAAAGCACGAAGAGAAAAGCCCTGTCAAGGCCAGCTGCCCACATGAGGACACAGTGGCCTGGAGAGTCTCAGCTGTCGCTTTGTTCTTTAAGGACAGGTATCGCATGTAGGACTTGAAAAGAGTCACATCCTGAAAGTCATCTTGGGCAGGTGGATTTTGAAGCCATTCAGTGCAGACTGCTGCCACAAAGAGGGGAGTCTTGTGGATTCCCTGTAAATCTTCATTCATTCCAAAATAAATGATAAACTCTTGCAGAGGTGTTATATTATGTGAGAAGAACTTCTTTAATATATAGACAGTGTTATATAAGGGAAACTCTTTAATCTCTAGACTTGTATCTAGGTATGGACGGATGTCCCTGACCCTGTTTGTATGCACAGCAATCAATAAGCAGGTCTGTGACAAGTAGTTCTTTGTAATCAGTGTGTCCAGGGCTTGGGGGAGTGAGGCCAGCCCACTGAAGTCATCCAACAGGAACAGCACCTGGTGTTGTAACTGCTGGATGCTGCTGCTCAGACACACTTCACTAATGCTTCCTCCTGCCTCTAGGAGTTGGCCACAGATGATGTTGGCCAGTCCCTGTTCTGGTCTGATGGAACTAAGGGAGAGGTAGAAGACCAGCTGGAACCTGTTCAACAGGGGACAGCATCCTGATGCCCAGAGAAAAGCTATTCTCTTCAGGAAGGTTGTCTTTCCACTGCCAGTTTCCCCTTCCACACACATGACAGAGCTGAGATTGGTGAAGACCTCAGGGATGGTCAGGGCCCCTTGCACTGGCCGGCTGATGTGCTTTGAAATGATGGACACATCGCAGCCGAGCAAGTGGTCAGTGCTGAGGCTGGAACACACCTCTGGCAGGTTCAAGTGGCGGAAAGTGGCTTTGGTGTAGGTGTCTCTCAGCTGCTCACTCAGACTCCTGGCCTCTTGAAACCACTGAGCTTCACTCTGACCCAAGTCTGTAGAGAGAAGGGAGGTACACTTCAGTTCACTCTGATGGCTTTGTTTGTCTGGTAAGGGTAGATTAGGACTCTCCTCCCCTTCACATGAAACCTCCATACACCCTGAGTTCCTCCCAGACCTTTACATAGCATTAGAATGATATCCAAGCCTCATCCTTGACCTGGGGGATTAGGCAGTATTCCTTTTTTGGGGGGGGGGGGAGTTGAGACAGGGTTTCTCTATGTAGTCCTAGCTGTCCTGGAACTCACTCTGTAGACCAGGATGGCCTCAAACTCAGAAATCCGCCTGCCTCTGCCTCCCAAGTGCTGGGATTAAAGGTGTGTGCTACTACTGCCCGGCTTCTTTTTTATTTTTAATTGGATATTTTATTTATTTACATTTCAGATGTCATTCCCTTTCTCCATTTCTCCATTTCCCCTCCCTAGAACTCCCTATCCCATCCCCCTCCTCCTTTTTGCTTTTATACCATTTGAATTACATGCATGTATTAAGGTCAGTTCTAGGTTGAGGGTCTAGCCATACAATAGATGCAAATAGTCAAGGAACAAACAAGACAATAAACACAAATAGTCAAAGAACAAGCAAGGCAATAAACAAAATTCCATGAACACTCCTGTGATCACTGTTTTTAAGGCCTTCTCAGGATGACCAAAGTATCTGAGCCAACTTCCCTGTCCTAGCCCAAAGTCATTTTCATGTCTAAAGCCTACTTCCTTGTTCTAGCCTAAGATTTAGATTCCTGCCTGAAATTAACTCTTTGTTCTAGTCTAATATCAGATTCCTGCCTGAAGCTTACTTCCTTGTCCTTGGCTAATGTCATATCCTGCCAAGCAACCCATTTTCTTGTCCTTGGTCCATGTCAGATTCTTGCCAAGCAGCCCCAAAGGCCCTCTGTCTCTCCCCATTTTTTATTTTATTAAAAAGACTGAGCCTGTCTTAGGTCATTCTGGCAAGAATGCCTTCCTTACCCATTGTGGAATATGCATTATCAAAAGCAATGCACTTCTGTTTTAGGTTGATAAAGATCTGCACAGAATCTTACCTGTCCTTGGCTTGCCAGCCTGTTAATTTAATAACTCTGTCTAGGGGTCCATTTTCAGATTCATGTCATGTACTTTGGATGCCAACATGTTGATGTTGTTAAAGACAAGCTTTAACACGATGAGCAGGAATAAAAGTATTCCGAAGACAAAAAAGAGCTAGCATGATCAAGCTATATATGCCATTGTTGAAGCTTGACCAAAATAGAAAAATTACCCATGGCAGTATTCTTAAGAATAATCTGGCCAGGCAGTGGTGGCACACGCCTTTTATCCCAGCACTTGGGAGGCAGAGGCAGGTGGATTTCTGAGTTCGAGGCCAGCCTGGTCTACCGAGTGAGTTCCAGGACAGCCAGGGCTACACAGAGAAACCCTGTCTCGAAAAAAAAAAAAGAATAATCTGTCACCCTGGTTTCCAATCTAAGCCCTCAGGAGACCAGCTTGCTGTGCTATGCTTTTAATGCTGACTGCCCTGAATCTGACACAAGGACTCTGTTATTAGTCCTGCATTCACTCACAGGAAGATATAGGGATGTTCACTCTCTCATGCATAGTTCCCTTCATCTCAGTGCTCTTCTCTCTAGAAGCTCCTGGACAATTATAAATACACTTTCCTTTCAAATTCTATATACAAATTCCCATAATCACATGCTGCTATCTAGTACTTACCAACCACCTTAGAGTGAACTGCTACTGGATCCTCATGGTTGCTTTCACTAGTGGTTTCCTTTAAAAAATAAATCCTTTATTACATCAATTTCACATGATACTGGAGCATTATATCATCATGAAGGACCCAATGTCTTCTAAACATAGCTGCATCTTTATGACAGGCATTCCATCAACTGAGCAATATCTCCAGCCCTTACAAGGTCATTTTTTAATTCACGAATATAAAGCACATATAAATATAAAGGTCATTGACTAGATAGTTAGCTAATATCCTAGAAAAATGTGCTTTCTGACTTTACAAGTTGGTATTTGGTTTTGCTCACAAAGCATATCCATGGGCCTAGAGTGCTTGCCTAGCATGCAAGCAGCCTTGGATTCACTAAAGAAGCCATTATCAGCTGGGCAGTTGCACACAACTGTGGAAGCAAACATTTTCAAGGCTAAGGCAGAAGATCACAAATTACAGGTCAGCCCTAGCTACACAGTGATTCAAGGTCAGCCTTGGCTACAAACTGAGAATCTGTAGCAAGCAAAAACCCAACCTAGTTAAATAATGCAAGCCTTTACAGTACAAAAGTTCAAGTAGGAAGTTAAGAGAACTGACCTCTGGAGAAGATGACAGATGGGATATATTTAGTCTACATGTTAGTCAAGTGTAAGCCTAAAACAATCTGATGGTAGACTTCTACAGGAGAAGGGGTCAGTATTCACTGTGAAGACCCCTCTATACTATCATATAGTAGTTGCTTACTAAATACTGGTAGAATTTATTTAATTATGATACATTTACAATCAAAAATTGTTGTTCACAGTAGTGTTCAACTACATGATCATGTGCTGCTAAGTCAGAAGAGGGCAGTGTTCATTACCGTGGCTTCTGAAAGTGCACAGTGACTCTGAAGGGCTGAACTCACTTGTGCAGAGGATTTCAGGGTTTGAAGAAATACACAGCTAAACAGAGAATGAAAAAGTCATTAAAAGCTCTATTCAAGTAAATACGCTGGGATTTTAATACACATATATGTACACTATGTACACATATATTCACAGAGAGACAGAGAAAGACAGAGAGAGAGAGAGAGAGAGAGAGAGAGAGAGAGAGAGAGAGAGAGA